GGACTCGATCCCAGGACCCTGGGATCATGACCTGAGCTGAAGGCAGTCGCTTAACCAACTGAGCCACCCAGGCGCCCTGAATTCTGAACCATTTTAAGAGAGACTGAGGAGCACAGGTGAAAGGAATGCAAGGAAGCAAGCCTGTAGGGGCAGTTCTGGACACAGCATGCCTGTATCTGGTCCCCTGGCCAGCTCAGCTGCTGGCTTTTATTAGTCAGCCAGCATGCATAGCAGGTCAAGGCAGGGCAGAGGCAAGGGCCCATGACCCAGTGTAAGGAGAGTACCTCCCTCTCTGCCCCATCCCGAATTCTCCACCAGTCTCACCACTGTCCCCAGCTCTATCTTTTCTTCCTTACCTAGCTTTCTTGCATGTGCTTGTTCTCAGCATCACCTCAACTGAATTACCAAGAAAACAGATGCTGTCAGTTGCCACTGCCCAATACGGTACTCCCCCGATGGAAGAGAACTGAGCTGGAGACAGGAGCCTGTCCTCAGCCTGCATCATCTTCCTACTCCAGTCAGGGAGAGGATTTTTGCTTCTTTGGCTTCAAGTAGCCAAGGGAGCTGGAGCTAGGAGGCAGGAAACTTGGGCACTGCTACTGATTCACTATGATTCTGAGTCTGTCTCTTGTTAAAAAAACAAAATTCGTCTGAGTAGATTGAAAGATCTAATTGGCTTTACTCAATGATTCATGAAATGGGCAGCATCCCATCTAGCAAGCAGAAAGGAGCTCCAAGGAGCTGTACAAAACAGAAGACTTTCATAGGCACAAAAGGGCAGAAAAAAAGAAAATTTCCTGCAAAGAGTGAATGTTTCTGGCAAAGCCACCTTCCTTTGGGGGAAGATTGGGGGTCTATCAAGTAGATTTACCTCACTAGTGCTGACCAGGTAATTCCAGATTGACTCGGTTAAAAGTCACATTCCTGGGAGAGACTGAAATTGCAATGAGGTCAGGTGTTAAGTCTTGGTTTGCTGACATGGGGCTTAGCACAAGTGACTCTATTTTGAGTCTATTATGTCTTTTTTCACAATTTCTCCTTTTGATCAGACTCTAAGCTTAACTAACAGATGGGATCAAAATATAAGGCATTGTGCCACTCTCAGCTACCGTGCTGAAGTTCTCACAGCTTTAACTTATCCTCTTTGTGACAGTCACAGTTCATGATGTTTTTTGCTGAGTCTCTCTGGTGTTCACAGATCATGACTTCAGGTTCACAGTTTTTTAGTTGGTCATTCTCTTTGGTTCTTCTTTGACAGTCCAGTCTTAGGGAGATCATTTGCTTGGTGGTCAGTGGCTGTAAACATGCATTTAAAGCTTTGGAGAGAATACAGCATGCCAAGGAGACTACTATTATTCTTGTAAGCAGGGTAATTCCCAATGTCTGGAGTGCACTTCAGAGCCATGGTCCCCAAAACACAAACCAATCAAAATCAAATAAGTCAAAAAAAGATCCCCTAGAAGGAGCCACCTTTTTAAGCCAAGTGGTTTGCTCAGTGATCTTACTTAGCTGAGTTTCAACTTCCCCAGAAGCGCTAATCCGGGTACAGCCTGTGGTGTTGACCACAGCACAGATACCTCACTGCTCAGCTAAAAGATAATTAAAGGCTATTCTATTAGCAAGAACAACTTTGGCCAGCGAGTCTAAGAATCTTTGTTGGCAGCTATTGCTATGGCACAGATTCTGCAATACTTTCCAGAGTTAAGGACAGTTTCCTGATCATAGCCTCACTCGTGTTCGCTCCTAACTGGGGGAAACAGGGACCTCCAAAGGAAGCAAATCCTGAATGATGAAAGCCTCCAAGTAGGTCCTTTCTAACTTGACAATGTAAATTCAGGGGTGTCAACCAGTGAGGTGTCTGTTCATGAACAGCTAGGGGCACTGCCCAGCTATCTGCCAGCTATCTGGGCATCCACAGGCCCAAGGAGGATGATAACCACCCCAGACAAAGATTAGTCCTGTTGGGGCACAAACCACTCCTGCTAAGGTAGCACTCCTTCTAGCATCATGGACAGGTCAGAGCTTTTGATGACAAATCCAGCAGTCTGCAGGGTTACCCCCCTTTGCAATGGCCTAGGAGATACAGATGATGGTGTTCTCTTTCCGGGCCATTCCAGATTAAAGGAAAGGAAAGAAGAGAAGAAAGTGTTTCACGTTTAATTAAACTAGTTAATAAGTGTTGATCCAGTGTCTTGGGTGGAAGCAGTCTACATTCTCTTCCTCATCAGTTTGATTTTGAGCACTGCAGCTGGAACTGACATTCCAGTTCCTGGACTCTGAAGGAGCCCTTTTTAATTGAGAGATGTGGACCCAAGGTCCAAGTCCCTGAAGTTTGGCTGCCATCTGGGTAGTGAGGAGGACTTGTATAGTCCCTTCCAAGGAGGTTCAAGGGCAGACTTTGTTCTAAGTGACTCCAAATCAGAAGGGTGGGAGAAAATTGGAAATGTTAGTTTAGAGAGTTGTAGCCAGATACTTGAGGAAACTAGAATTCAGAATCTAGTCTAGTTCACAGGTGTATAACAATCCCTCAAAGACAATTAACAGGGCTAGAATCTAACATCCATATGGTACATATGTAACTTTTCTATCTACAATTACCTCCATTTTTTTTTCTATGAAAGATAATCACAGTAAAATTAATATTCATTAAACTCAGCCTGATTCTTCCTATAAGTGCAGTAAGAATAACGATTGAGCATATAAGCTCCTTTTAGAGACTGCTTTGCTTCAACTTTTCATAAGGAATCTCATAGTGAACTCTTCAAAGCTTCTGAGGCCAGAAAGCCAAGCCAAGGGCTCATCATTAGATTTTTACCTGCAATAGCTATGGTTTGGGTGAATTCCTCCTTTCTCAAGGTCCCCAAAATATTTTGAGATTCCTGGGGCTGTCAGGAGATAACCTTCCTTACTCACCTGGTAAGACTGCCAGCAATCCTGTAAGCAGAGTATCAGGCTGATTTTTCCAAGGGGCTTCATTGGCCTCATAAAGTCAACTTTACTCCCTTAAAGCTGTCTGGTCCTATCGAGTCTATACATATGACATTCCAGTAATATAGGTAATATAACATTGGTAATATAGCCAATGTTTCAAATTATGTCCTGTTACAAGGAGACCAGATTCTTATTGAACTTATGCAAATAAATAATTATATTGCCATGTAAAGAATACTCAAAAATCTCTGAATTCTGGAGGGATCAGGATCAAGAAGAAAAAGTAAATGTTTCATCTTTGTTTACAAAGGTGTTCTTTACCAAGTAAGTCTTAGATAGCTTAAGAGAAAAGGTTTCCTTAAATCTGGAAAAACAAAATTTAATTAAGGAACCAGCAATGTTTCAAACAAAAGTCATAAAAAATTATAATCATCCTCCTACATTCATTCAGACCCATGTAATTAGTACTGTTTTGCTTAAATCTAGTTTTTCCATTAGTTCTGGAAATCCTTACCCGGTTCTGTTTTATGATCTTAAAGTTATCAGAAACCTGTACTTTTCAAAGTCCTTTCCCTGAATCTCCTTGAAGATAAAGCACTCTTTTTTTTTTTTTTAAGAGAGAGGGAGAGCATGTGCTGCACAGGAGAGGTGCGGGAGGGCGAGAGGCAGAGGGAGAAAGAGAATCTTAAGTAGGCCTCACACTCAGTGACCCTGAGTTCATGACCTGAGCCAAAGTCAAGAGTCAATGCTTGACCAACTGAGCCACCCAGGTGCCCTAAGATGAAGCACTTTTGCAGAAACACTTTGGCAAAAGCATCTGAGTGAAACGACAACTGTCTGTAAATGATGAGGACTTACAATGCCCACAGTTAAAGATCGGTTGAAAGCTCATTATAATGGATCAACAAGGAAATTTGGTTATTTCTTTACACAACATTTTAAGATAGTAACTGAAATTATGACTGATAACATTATACCAGGACATATCAGATTTCCAGGAATTTCAGTTTCTGGAACACTTATAGGTAACTATACAAATAAAACATTAAAAGGGCTTAGTATATCACTTCTTATTTGACAATGCTTCCCCTGTAATTTAACATCAAATAAGCCTAATTGGTTTAACAATTCCCTTTTTATAAGTAGAGAGAACAGAACTTTTCCTTCCTTCCTCCCTCCCCACCTTCCTTCCTTCCTTCCTTCCTTCCTTTTCTTCTCACCAATGAGGGGCTTGAACTCATGACCCTGAGATCAAGAGCCACACACTCCACTAACTGAGCCAGCCAGGGACCCCAAGAACAAATCTTTTAAGATGTTCCAGGGACCCTCTGAAATACCCCACAGTAAGCTTGAGGTTAAAAAAGACTTCATTTAGCATTTGATTTTTGTGAAGTTTGTCAAAAATATCAAAAGGTTTTACAAACAGTCAAATAGGATCATAGTTCAGGATGAAAGAATATTTGGTTATCTATTTAACCTTAGTGATAATTTGAAACTTCACCAGCAAATACAGAAAGTTAAATAATTGTAAAACAAACAAAAACCCTTAGCTCTTTTAATGGAGAAGACTCAATTTTCTTAAGTAATCAAAGATCTGATATGAAACACAAGAAATTATATTGACAAGACAAAAATCTTTGTTTTCTAGGAAGATTACTTAAAAGGTTAAAAAAACTTTTATAATCTCTTAAAGAGCAGACCAAGAGTATAAGAAAACTTTGTCCTTTTAAAACAGATGAAACCAATTCTAATTTTATACCAGTATACTTTTGATGTTAAAATTCATTTTAACAATTTAATTAGATCCATTCCAATCTTAGCCAGTTTGACCACACGTGAAATTATTTTCCAAGATTCCTTTTCCACAAGCCTTCTACCACCTTTTTACTCTTTTTTTTTTCCTTTTCATATTTTGTCTTGTGTTTTTTCTCTTTCCCATTCTGGAGAAAAAAAAAAAGCTTAAGTATAAAGACAATATTATTTTCTTTTCCCTCGACAAAAATTAATTTCCATTCCTCATAATTTCTCTTAGCAAAAACATACATCCTACTTTCCTTGCATGCAGAGATCGTACAGGCTGCTCCTAGGCAGCGGGCTTGAGCACTGGAAACCTGAGTCAGGTAGAAGGGCCCACAGCGACCCCCAACCCCCCAGCTGAATGCAAACAGGCCCATTAGGCGACTCACCTCAAAATATCCACTAGCCCTAGTTTACCAATGGGCTATTTACACTTGGACACAGGTACCAAAAAAGGGGAAAATTCCATATCTTCCCATACCTCCTCACCTTCCTCCTTACCTACAGCCCCCAGCACTGCCCCCAGGCAGTCAGCCTCTTCTTTGCTGTCCTGCCCACTGCTTCCCTGTGGTGTATTCAATAAACTTCTATCTCCTTTGTTCTGCCTTGGGTGAGTTCTCTCACTGCCGGCCTCCCAAGACTCCACACCATCCGGTTGCCCCACAGAGTTGTTTCTATTATTATTATTATTATTATTATTTATTTTAAAGATTTTATTTATTTATTTGACACAGAGAGAGAGAGAGAGAGCACACCTGCGCACACAAGCAGGGGGAGCAGCAGAGGGAGAGGGAGAAGCAGGCTCCCCGCTGAGCAGGGAATGCGCTGAGCCTGATGGGGGACTCATCCTAGGACCCTGGGATCATGACCTGAGGTGAAGGCAGATGGCTTGACCCACTGAGCCACCCAGGCGCCTGAGACATGCCTGTTTTAATTAAACCAACAACCTTAAACTAGCTTTTATTTACTAAAGATTAATCCTAGATCACAGAACTTGAAAAATATTTGGGTTAAGTTTTTATATTTCTAAGAGTTTTAGAAATCCTTATTTCATATTAATGCTTGATTTTCTTCAAGCTGATTAAATAGAGCTTTTTTGCAAATTAATTGTGGCAATGACATCCAGAAGTAGAAAATACCACACATCTACATATACACAGACACAAACAGAGGCCTTAAAATGTTCATTAAAAGAATTTAGTCATGGGCGCCTGGGTGGCTCAGATGGTTAAGCGTCTGCCTTCGGCTCAAGTCATGGTCTCAGGGTCCTGGGATCGAGTCCCGCATCGGGCTCCCTGCTCCTTGGGAGTCTGCTTCTCCCTCTGCCTCTCTCTCTCTCTCTGTCTCTCTGTCTCTCATGAATAAATAAATAAAATCTTTAAAAAATTAAAAAAAAAATTTAGTCATGACTGTATGTTAACTGGAATGAAAATAAAAACTTAAAAAAATGTTTTTAACCATGAGATGGGTATAATAATGCAAAACTCACTCATTTTTAAAGAAGAGTTGGAATAATTACCTGCTCAGACTGTCAAAGCTCTTTCTGTTGATATTTGTGAAGACACTTAAGATTTGCCTTTGTCCTTGACAAGGGATCTCAAGGAAGCTGTGGACTGTATTGGGCAAGGGAGCTTATGTAGCAGTTTGTATTTTTAAAGCCTCTTCCCTTTTAAAGTT